CGGCTTGTGATCCCGTGGTCCTGGGATTGGGTCCTGCATCGGGCTCCCTGCAGGGAACCTGCTTCTCCCTCTGCATGTATCTGCCTCTCTCTGTGTGTTTCATGAATAAATAAAATGTTAAAAAAAAAAAACAAACACTTTCATTCTTATAGTGCCAAGGACATAAATTGTGTATTTGGTTCTTTCTGTCAGGAATTAAGCTCAGGACAGATTAAGGATAGATAGCCTAGCCTAGACCTTAATTCCCAGACTCCTCTCTGTAGGCCTAGTTTCAATTCTACCCTTTTTTTTAAAAAAAAAAAAAAGATTTTATTTATTTATTCATGAGAGACACATAGAGAGGCAGTCATAGGCAGAGGGAGAAACAGGTTCCCTGCAGGGAGCCTGATGTGGGACTCAATCTCTGAATCCCAGTATCATGCCCTGAGCCAAAGGCAGATGCTCAACCACTGAGCCACCCTGAGCCAAGGGCCGACGCTCAACCACTGAGCCACCCAGGCGTCCCTCAGTTCTACCCTTTGTGAGCAAAATTGTAATCCCCCCTCTGCAAACTTTGAATGGATCAATATATGGCATTTAATAGGCTGGAGTTCTGTCTCCACTCTTGAGAGAACCTAGGGTTCCCACAGTTTGAGGTAGCACTTTAGATTTATTAAATCCGAGTTTAAGAATGGAATTATTGTAAATTGGCTATTAGGAAACGCAAAACATGACTGTTCATTCATGGATTGTAGCCCCTCTTTCTCTACCTGACTCAAAGCAGTTTTCTATGTCAATTTCCCAAGGTTAGGCATGGGGGAACCCATCAGTTTAAAAGCCAAGTATAGCAGGCTTTGATAATTCCACTATCATAAGCTAATGCTCACTACTTATGTTTCCCAAGTTTAGAAGCATTTATTTTACTTAAGCTCCTGTCTTACAATATTCTATAAATTAACTTGGCTCCTCTTCCCCAAGGGATGGTCTCAATAGCCTCTCATGCCTTTTCTTCCAAAGTTCATGTAGTCTTTCAAAATGTCATTTGGCACTATTTGAATTCTGCTAGAAAAGCAAAAAACATACCCTAGAGGGGAAATATATCTCCACCTTGCACTCTGAATTTTTGATGAGGTGATAAATACTTACATGGGAATGTTCATATAAAATCTCTGTTTTTGATTGAGATGAGATAGGAACATGTGATAACTGTTCTTAGTTTACAATAATCTGGGTGAATCAGTAAAGTTTATGTTGGCTGTAAGACCCAGAATGACTGGTTCAACCAGGAAAATTTTTCTGTCGCATGAAATTCTGGAGGTGGCAGTCTAAGCCTGGTGTTGTGGCTCTGCTCCAAAGTCCTCCACGTCATCTTATTCAAATCCAGGCAGCAGAATGGAGGCATGGAAGAGGGAACAAAGGGTGATAACAAGGTGTGTTTATGGTAGGTTCCCTCAGGGCAGCCCCGGTGGCACCGCGGTTTAGTGCCCCTGCAGCCCCGGGCGTGATCCTGGAGACGCTGGATTGAGTCCCATGTCAGGCTCTCTGCATGCCTGCTTCTCCCTCTGCCTGTGTCTGCCTCTCATTCTCTCTCTGTGTCTCTATGAATAAATAAATAAAATCTTAAAAAAAAAGGTAGGTTCTCTCAAACTGCCTCATAATTTCAGTTATCTCCAGTTGGCCATAATAGAAGATCCATGGACAAATAAGGTGGGAGAATCCTCATCCTTAGTGGTATACACAAGCAAATAAAGAAGTGATTATTCTTTTATTTATTTATTTATTTTTGATTATTCTTTTATTATGGGAGAAAAGGAGATCAATGGTGTGGGGGTAATTATCAGACTTGGCCCTAATTCTAATACCAACTATGGAATCGGACTTCCTGGATACCAGTATTGAACAAAAGATGTAGTAGGCTAGAATTAAATAATTGAAATGAGGGTTTACTGGTACACTTGCAGTATTTGAGAATCTTTCTGGAATTTGTGGTCTCTCACATCCCATCAAGTCCTGCTGATTCTACTTAATATATGAAAAATATTTGGCTTTTTTCTACCATAATAGCTGTAGTGAATCTTCCTTATGTCCAATCTGCATTATTGTAATACCTAGTAATATTGGACAGATACTTTGTTGTCATTTTCTTATGCTCATCTCATTCCCAAACATCTAATATATTTTATATGGCCATCAAATTGAACTTTCTAAGACACAAAGCTAGTGTGACTGAGAAATTGATTTAAATTTCATCTCATTCTAATTAGTTAAATATAAAAACAAAAGCAGTGTAAAAAATTTTACCATTACTGGCAACTTTATTGTTTTGGTAGGACTACTTTTCACTTCAACCATTGCATTGCATAGATGTAATATAGTGTTCATTTCACATGTATATGTTGTTTCTAGTGTTACACATAAACACATCACTGATCTCGCTGATGTCAAGCAATTGATGTGTTTATTTGGATATTTGATGAAGACAACATGATTTACAGTGATATGAAGGAAATAATTGGTAATTAGATATAAGTAGTTATGATTAAATTATCATTCTAGGTTAGATAAGTATGTATAGATTTTAAAACTTAAAATGAAAGCTTACTAATGATGCATAGTCAAGTAGAGACCTGTACTATGGCCAGAAGAGTAAAAAGTAAGAGACTGGAAGAAGTACTATAAATTTCACAACAAATGCCAATTGCAATTTGGTATGAACAAAGCAAACAAAACCTGTTGTAAAAAAAAAAAATTAAGTAAATAAAGTAGAGAATATTGTGAGACATTTGCAGCAAATACATACATTTGATGAAAGTTTTTCTTTTGATAACCAAAAAGGAATGGATAAAATTAGTTGCCTGAAATCAGAATTAAATGGAAAACCAAAATTTTAAATAACTTTGAAACATAATCTGAACTTATAACTGTATATCTATAAAATGGCTCTGTGTCTTACATATACAATCAAATTTTAGGTGGAAATACAGGAAGACAAATTATTGTAGTTATGGAAGTTTTGTTAGGATATTATGAAAAAGACTAAAAATATACATATTTTTAAAGATTTTATTTATTTATTCATGAGAGACACAAAGAGAGGCAGAGACATAGGCAGAGGGAGAAGCAGGCTTTTGGGACTTGATTCCAGGACCCTGGAAATATTATTATTGAGCCAAAGGCATATGCTCAACCACTGAGCCACCCAAGTGACCCTAAAAATATTTTATAAAAAGTAAACAGAACTTGAAGCCACCAGTCAGCTACCCATAAAAGATCTTTCTAACAATATCAAAAATTCAAAATTATTAAAGCTACATGTATTCTCCTCTAGCTTTAGATGAGTTGTACGATATGAAATATTACCTAGTTAATACTCTGGGTAAATTTTGCCTCAAAAGACTTCCAAATCAAGTAGAAATGTTGTCAATTTGCAGCCTACAAAATCAGATTCATAGCATAGATATTTATTTTTTAAAAAAGATTTTATTTATTCATGAAAGACACACAGAGAGAGGCAGAGACCCAGGCAGAGGGAGGAGCAGGCTCCCTGCAGGAGCCCTATGTGGGACTCAATCCCAGATCCCAGGATCATGCCTCAGCCGAAGGTAGATGTTCGACTGCTGAGCCACCCAGGTGTCCCCATAGCATAGATTATTTAAAAATATTTTATATATGTAAAAAAAGAATTTCCACTAGATATGAAAAAAATAATTTCTCTTATAATTAACCAGTTATATGAGGTTAAAAATGTGAATTCCTTGGAATTTTAAAGAGCTTGATGTCTCCCTAATTGATTGTTCCACAATATGAGAAGTATGATGATTTAATATATGCATGTAAATATTATGAATCATTGTCACTTTATGGAACTTTTGAAACAGAAAACAATGAATTTGTTTATCTTATGTTCTTTGCCAGTGCTCATTGGTTGAATGATTGAAGTTTTACAAAGATTTACTGTATTTTGAACTCCAAGGTTTCCCTAAAAAAAAAAAATACTTGGTAAATATTTCATAATCGGGACCACCCAAAATGACAGTGTGATTTTCTCACCAGTATCACATTGCATATGAACACACAAATCTGAAACTCCAAGGAAAGGAAACCTGTTTTTGTGACCTAGCTAAAAAGGTAGGAATATTTCTTGAAATTGATACTTTTCACAAGTGAATAATAATTTTACTTATTTTTTTTATCGTGAATGAATATATGAACGATTTTCACTGGACTCAAAAGCATTGCCAAATATACAATGAAGAAACAGGAAATCTTAGTAAAGAAACAAACTATAAAAAAAAGCACCAAACGAAGATAATAGAACTGAAAAGTACAATATCAAACATTTGATAGATAAGCTTAACAGCATAATTGAGCTGACAAGAAAAAGAATAAATTTGAAGATAGAGCAATAGATATTATCCATATGAAAAAGTAAAAATGTTGAAGATAACAGCCAGTGACCTGTGGGATAATATCAAAAGATTTAACATGAGTACTTGGAATCCCAGAAGAAGCAAGGGCAGAGAATAAATCTGGATGTAGACAAAAGTTTCTGAAATTTGGGGAAAAGCATGTGTGTACATATTTCAGAGACTCAGAGAACTCCAAAAAGAGTAACATAAACCATCCTTAGACCAGCATACTCAAATAGATGAAAATCAAAGATAATGAAAAATCTTGAAAGCATGCAGAGAGAAATGATACATACAGGGGAAAAATAAGTCAAATGACTTCTCATCACAACCTACAAAGGACAGAAGTCAGTGATACAATATCTTTTTTAAAAAAACTACACAACAAACTCCATAATTCTATAGCAAGAAAGACAATCCTTCAAGAACAAAATAATTCAGTAAAGGTAACTGAAAATTCACTACTAGTAGATATGCACTCCAAGAAATGCTAAATTAAGTTCTTCAAGCTGAAGGAAGATGATATCAGATGGAAATTTAGACCATTGGGAATTGGAAGTGGGAAATCATGAAGAGCATGGGAAAGGGTAAATATAAAATGAGAGTTTGGCAGGTTTTTAAAAAATTTCTTTAAAATAATAGCCTGTTTAAATTTCTCAGTTGGAGTGCCAATGTGACTTTACAGGAATTACTAATTGCAAAGAAAAAATGTACCAATACAATGGAGAGAACTTGTGGTCAATATATGAGTGAAGAGATCAAACAATGTTTCACTTGTATCACTTGTATTTGATATTTTATATCAAATACACTTATCTATGAAGCAGTCTTGTAAAAAATGTTTAATCTGAAACCTAATCAAACCTCTAGACATAAGCTTCAGTTCACAATAAATACAAGGGATAGAGGAACAAGTTAAGCCCACTTTGAGAAAAAGCAGGACAAATATGGAATTATATAGGTTACTTCTTTTGAGTCTTCAAAAAATGTAAGGAGGTGGAGAGTAAATTCTTGATCAATTCTTACTGGACCCAATAAGCCATAGTCATATAAAATATATGGGCTTGGTTTGGTTTTTGGCGTTTTAAAAAGTCAGCACTTCTAGAATACATTGTTTAACCAATCAGAGAAATTTGTAAATGGGCTGAATATTATAGAACAATATAAGGTTATTATTAGTGCTTTTTAGGTAACAATGGTTTAATCATCTAGAATATTATCCTTAATTTTTATTTTTTTTATCCTTAATTTTTAAAGAGGATTTTATTTATTTATTCATGAGAGACACAGAGAGAAAGGCAGAGATATAGGCAGGGGGAGAAGCAGGCTCCCTGCAGGGAGCCTGTTGCAGGACCTGATCCCAGGACCCTGGGGTCACAACCTGACCCAAAGGCAGATGCTCAACCACTGAGCCACCCAGGTGCCCTATCCTTAATTCTAAGAGTTGTATGTTGACTTTTTAGAGGTGAAGTGATATCTAAAACGTTCACTGAAAAAACACAGCAAAATGATATATGTAAATATACTCAATATGTAATAAGAAGGGACACCTGGGTGGCTCAACGGTTGGGGTGCCTGCCTTCAGTTCAGGTCATGATCCCGGGATCCAGGATTGAGTCCCGCATTAGACTCCCTGCAAGGTGTCTGGTTCTCCCTCTGCCTGTATCTCTGTCTCTCTGTGTGTGTCATGAATAAATAAATGAATCTTTGAAAAAAAAAACAATATGTACTGAGAATTATATATGGTATATGTGCATCTGTATATATACATGTTCATATTTATGCGAGAGATATACATTGAATTTAGGTGGAGGCAAACAAATTTCACTGTGACACTATTGTACCTTTTACATAAATTTGAAAACTTTCAAAAACTTGAAGAAAAACTTTTCCAAGTCAACCTAGGTCTTTGGCTGCCAAATTGTTCTTTTTTAATTTCTTTCCATTGTAGGGCATGTGGATTATGTGTTATCTGTATTGTAGAACTTATTGTAAGAAAGTTTCTTCAAACTACTCTCCAATTTTTCAACAGCTGAACTCTCAATATTCAATAAAGGCACAGGGTTTCTTATTATTAGTCTTCAGGATGTTGAGCTTTGAATAAAAAAAGTCTTAATATATTCTATGGAATTTTGTCCAGAATGAATTATCTGAAGGAAATATGGATGAACCTTGATACATTTTTAAAAAAATGCTTATAGTGTCTTCTTTCCACATGAATTTATGTATAGTATTAATAGTGATTATCAGGGATCCCTGGGTGGCTCAGCAGTTTAGTGCCTGCCTTCGGCCCAGGGCGTGATCCTGGAGACCCGGGATCGAGTCCCGCGTCGGGCTTCCTGCATGGAGCCTGCTTCTCCCTCTGCCTGTGTCTCTGCCTCTCTCTGTGTGTGTCTCTCATGAATAAATAAATAAATAAATAAATAAAATATTTTAAAAAATAGTGATTATCATTAAAAACCACAATACTTACTAAGCAAATATTATGTGCAAAATGCCCCTCTAAGCATTTAAATTTTATCTTAAATAATTTTATCTTTACCATAACATCATTAGGTGGTAGAACAGTGATAATGGTAAAAGATGTGCCAAAGCTAAGTGCTTTTTTATTATTAAATCAAGAGTTTCTCACTATTATGAAATCTTTGATGTTGAGTAAGTTGATAGCAACGAGTAAAGGCCTTTCCACATTCCTTACATTTGTGTGGTTTCACACCAGTATGAATTCTCTGATGTTGAGTAAGTCGATCACTACGATTAAAGGCTTTGCCACATTCTTTACATTCATAGGGTTTTTCACCAGTATGAATTCTCTTATGTTGAGAAAGACCTGAGATAGAACGAAAGGCCTTCTTACATTCTTTACATATATATGGTTTTAAACCTGTATGAATTGTCTGATGATAAACCAGTTGAGAATTAAGTCTAAAGGTTTTCCCACATTCCTTACATTCAAAGGGTTTGTCCCCTGCATGAATTGACTGATGTGTTTTAAGGTCTCCAACACGACTGAAGGCTTTCCCACATTGGTTACATTCATATGGTTTCAAATCAGTATGAATTATCTGATGTTGAATAAGGTATGAATGAAGCTTAAATGTCTTCCCACATTCTTTGCATTTATGTGGCTTCTCACCAGTATGAATTCTTTGATGTTGTGTAAGTTGAGAGCCTCTGCAGAAGGCCTTCCCACATTCCTTACAATCATAGAGTTTCTCACTACTATGAATTCTCTTATGTTTAAGGAGGCTTGAGCCCCTACTAAAGGCCTTTCCACATTCCTTACATTCATGAGGTTTCTCGCCAGTATGACTTCTCTGATGTTCAATAAGTAGATAGCTGCGAACGAAGGCCTTTCCACATTGTTTACATCTATATGGTTTCTCACCAGAATGAATTTTCTTATGTTGATAAAGACTTGAACGATGACCAAAGGCCTTCCCACATTCCTTGCATATATAGGGTTTCACACCATGATGAATTTTCTGATGTAGGCACATATGTCGATACAATCTAAAAGTTTCCCCACATTCCTTACATTTATAGGGTTTCAAACCAATATGAATTTTCTGATGTTCAGTAAGGTGAGAATAACGTCTAAAAGACTTCCCACATTGCCTACATTCATAGGGTTTTACACCAGTATGAATGATCTGATGTTGAATAAGCTGTGAATAAAACCTAAAGGCCTTCTCACATCCATTACATTCATAGGGTTTCAAATCAGTGTGAATTTTTTTATGTCTAATAAAATGCTGGAGAACTATAAAATCCTTTCCACATTCCTTACATTCATAGGGTCTCACACCATTATGGTCTCTCAAATGTTCAGTAAGGCATGAATATTTTCTAAAGCCCTTCCTACATTCCTTACATTCATAGGATTTCTCACTAGTGTGAATTCTCTGACGTAGAGGAAGAGATATATGTTTTGTAAGTGTCATTTGACTATAACATCCTATGTTAGGCCCCTGTTCTCTCCCAAATTCAATTCTGCATTGTGGGTCATTTCTGAAAATAAACCTCATGAGGTTGAAGGTTTTACTCCTTTTCATTGTCTCCCGATGGTATGAATTTACTTCATAACTGCTTTCTCCTGAAGATAACTTGTTGGTTTCAGTTGTAAAATCAATGTCTGAAAGAAAACAAGAAAATAAACAAATGCTATTTTCCTGTACAGGGGATGAGTAGGGGGCCTTCTAGAGTAAAAATAGTGATAAATTGAGAAGTATGTGCACAACAAGTAAAAAGGTCATAAAATCCTGAAAAGCTGTCATGAAAATTTAAAAGGCAAGAAGGCCTCAGAAAATTATGAAAGTTCATATTGAGAACTATAAAGTGTGAGTAGGCAAAGAGAAAAAGTCAGTAGTTCTCACATTAGTTGGATCAAAATTATAGAGGGAGCTTCTTATATACACTACCTTTTAGATATCCACTTGAGACTGGGTGAATCAGAATTTAGAAGAGTAGGTTCTAGTCATCTACATTTCTAACATTATCAGATGGCTCTATGTAATTTTTTCAATGTTTTTTTAAATCTTAGAATAAAACCCTAAGTACATAACCATGAATAAAAAGGATCTATGTTATTTACACAAATTTATCTCAAGCCCTTGGCATCTTTTGTTCACTATATATTATCCCAGTGCATTTCTTCAGCTACTAAAACATGCCATAACCTTTCCCATTTCCTGGGGATTCATACAGGTGCTCCACCTTTCAGAAATCCTCTTATCTAGATCCTTTAAATTACTATCTTCAGGTGCTGTAGATTAGAAATCACTTATTCAGAAAGGCTGCCTCTGCTAACTCTAAGTATATTCATATCCTTTATTCTGTGTTCCAACACCTAATTTTTGCCTTCAAAATACTTTTCTCTATTACATATTTATTTTCTCATTTGTTTTACCACTTACTTTCTTATTCTAAAACTCAAAACTTCTTCCAACTTCTACTACAAAACAAGTTCTTACCACAAAGTAAATACTAATTGTAGGATAAAATACTGAATTTTAAAAATTAATTTGGATGAAAGTAAAGGTAAATAAGAATGAAAAGTTTAAATCCTTAAGCTGAGTAAAATATCCATTTAGTTTCTGAAACTTATGCAACAGTTATCAACCATGTCTCCCTGACTAATCTTTCATACCTTATTACAGTAAAATATGCTTTCCTCTATCATTTACCTTACAGGTGAGAAATATGCTCACCCAAATTAGCTCAGTCAAAAATATAAATGGGAACATTTGATATGTGATCATTCTCCAATTGCTTATCATCTTAAATTGATAACACATCTTTATCACTATTTTTCCATATTTCCTGTGCCTAGTCATGATTGGTTTTCTGCTTTATCTCAAGATAATCAGATGGTGTATTACCTTCATTAGTATAATTTCAATATTATTCATTCATCCTACGGATGCCTACTGTTTTGTTTCTCTAATGACTTTCCCAAATTCTCCCTTCCATTTCTTTATAGCCAAAGCCAATCCCTCTTGAATTTTACAGAAATGTATTTCAGGAGGGAGAGAGAACATGAGAGACTCCTAACTCTGGGAAATGAATAAGGGGTGGTGGAAAGGGAGGTGGGCAGGGGATGAGGGTGACGGGCACTGAGGGGGGGCACTTGATGGGATGAGCACTGGGTGTTATGCTATATGTTGGCAAATCGAACTCCAATAAAAAATAACTAACTAAATAACTAAATAAATAAAAGAAATGTATTTCAGGGATTGCAATAGTTAATATTATTTTAAAAGGCTTATGAAAGTCTAAGAAATTAAACTTGAGGATGTTGAGTAAAAATAACTATATGCAACGGGAGTAGACTTTGGGAAACCAAATGCCTGGGACTCTGCAGCAAAGGTTATGTTGAATGTTGGCTAAAAATTGGCCTGTAGAGCAGCCTGAAGAACTCTATAATGTGCTAAGTGGGTCAAGGATGAGTTGAAGGCAAGTGGGATTCTTCTATGAAGTACAATATGTTCAAAAATTTGAAGTAAAGCAATATCCTCTGAACCAATGAGAAACAAGTAGCAATCTCAAAAAGCCAAAACACTTTCTATTGATAAATAAAAATCAACAACTACTGTTTGAGAATGATAAATACAAACTGAAGCCACAGTACTTCTTGAAAACAATAATAAAATTATGATAGATCAGAATCTATGGCCTTTAACTGTAGTGCTACAAACTCATAGACTAAAAAAGGCTTACATCTAATGAAAAATTAAAGAATTAAAATTAATGAATTAAATATTAAATCCAAATTAAGAAGAGAAAAAAATTAGAAAAAGAATGATAAAGTCTACTGAAAGAAAACAGAAAAGGGAAATCAATATAATAAAAACAAATTTTAAATAAAATTGAACAATTAACACCTAGACTACCTATTCAAGGAACAAAAGATAGGAGGAAAATCTAATGCCAGTAATTATATATAGGAGGAAAATTACAATGCCAGTAAGGAAACAGTCATCAATTAGGAAATAGAGAATGTTTAAGAAACCTGTACAAGGCAACAATGCAAATAAATTTGAGATGTACATGAAATGATTTTTTTGAAAACATAATTTATAAAAACTGACCTCAGTTAAATTTACTGACTAGCTTCTAACAAAATATGAAAAGGAAAAAAATAATAACTTTTCAGTGAAGAAAAGTGACAGAAACCACTTTATACAAGTTTTTAAGGTTAGCACCCCGCTGATAAATCATGTTGATCTCACATGCCCCTAACATATAATGAGAAGGGTACTTCTCTGGTATTCTTCCCCCAAATACATAGTCTCAGTTTAATAATAAGAAAACACCAAACACACCAAAATTTGGAGGCACTCTACTAAATACCTGACCAAACAGTATCTTCAAAAGTATCAAGGTCAAGAAAGAGAAGGAAAAACTGAGAAACTGTCACATTTAGAAGAAAGTGAGGACACAGGATGACTAAAAATAATGTAATATCCTGGATTGGATCCTAAAACAGAAAAAAGACACTAGTGCATAAACTGGTGAAATCTAAATAAAATATTTAAAGTATTGTAAAATGTTACTTTGATAGTTTTCACAAATGTACCATGGTTATGTAAGATGTTATCATTATGGGAATGATACATTGGAACTCTTTGTGCCACATTTGTAACTCTTCTGTGAATCTAAAATTATTTCAAAATAAAAGTAAGACAATCACAGAAACAGATTCCAGAAGAGATGGAAAATCTAAACAAACCAATTTCCACAGAATAATTCAAAAATTGTATATTTATCCCAACAAAGAGATGATTACAATTAGCTTCTCTGTTGTCTAAGTTTCAGTCTCTGTAAACTATTTCCAACTGATGTTAATGAGGGTGCCTAGGAAAAACAGCTAATTCCTAGTCCAGGGCAGGGAAGATACAAAGTGAATCTAAGATTTATTTTACTAAAGTGCAAAGAGGCTTTCAAGGATAGAATTAATAACTTGTGCTTTTAGTTATACATCATTAAAAGGGATCAAATTTGCCCTCCTACCTTAAAAACTAGAAAACCAAACAAAATGTATGAAACAGCATCTTTCAAATATTGGAAAACAGATAGTACAGGGTAGAAATCTCCTGAGAGAAGGGAAGCAAATGAAGTGTGCCCCACAAGTACCATTGCTGACCATCTAAAGAGAATTTCTAGAACAGAGCACAGGGACGGGAAACTAAAATAGTGCAACTGTATCCCTGAGTTGAAAAGACAGAGTAGGGAATTAAGGGAAAGAATGAGATGCAGACTGCTGGGGTTTACCCCAAAGATACAGATTCAATGAAATGCTGGGACACCTGCGCCCAATGTTTATAGCAGCAATGTCCACAATGGCCCAACTGTGGAAGGAGCCTCGATGTCCATTGAAAGATGAATGGATAAAGAAGATGTGGTTTATGTATACAATGGAGTATTACTCAGCTATTAGAAATGACAAATGCCCACCATTTGCTTCAACGTGGATGGAACTGGAGGGTATTATGCTGAATGAAATAAGTCAATCAGAGAAGGACAAACATATGGTCTCATTCATTTGGAGAATATAAAAAATAGTGAAAGGGAATAAAGGGAGAAAAAATGAGTGGGAAATATCAGAAAGGGAGACAGAACATGAAAGACTCCTCTAACTCTGGGAAACGAACTAGGGGTGATGGAAGGGGAGGTGGGCTGGGGGTGGGGGTGACTGGGTGACAGGCACTGAGGTGGGCACTTGACGGGATGAGCACTGGGTGTTATTCTATATGTTGGCAAATTGAACACCAATAAAAAATAAATTTATAAAAAAAAGAATGAGATGCAGAATTTGCAAAGTAGGGTACTAGAGGGGAGGGAGCTGCACAGAGAGATCTCTAGAGAACTGTGGCTGTATGTGAATCTGGACATCTGTGTGAAGAATGAGAACAAAGAATGTGCTACTGGGTATGAGTAGACAAAACAACCCCTGGAAGTCACAAAGGGCAGGGGATAAATTCTTGTTTCCACCAACCAGAGTGGAAAGACTCCATAATACATGAAGCATCAGAGTCCCCAGAAGGATATTGCCTCAGTAGTGTGGCCAGATTAGCCCTAGATTAAAACCTGTTCTGTTCTAACAAAGCTAAGCCAACCATGAAAGGATCAACAGATTTCAAATTATATAACTACATCCCAAAATGAAGCCTCAAAATATGTAAAATAATATTAGAATATTAGAAATCCAGCATCCCAACACAGTAAACTTCACAATGTCTGGCATCCAATAAAAAATTAGCAGGCATGTAAAATAGCAGGAAAATATGACTCTTACAAGGAGAAAATTAATCAAAATAAGCACACCAAGGAATGATACAGATAATATAATTAGTAGATAAGGATACTGAAAGAGCTATTATAAATGTACTTCATATTTTTAAAATGATAGTTACTTTTCTATTCATCTCTTAATTTTCTATATTCTTTGTTAGACTCTATACAAAAAGAGGTCATGGGGAAAATTTTCCCAAATTCTTACATGTTCAAACTGTTGCACATAGTTATACTTTAATTACAAACCATCTGGGCCTGAATCTTCTAGTTTATGGGAAGACACTTAATGATGGATTCAGTTCCTTTAGGGCTTATGAGAATTTTCATGATTTTTTTTTCTTGAGTGGAATTTCTTGTTGATTAAAAATTTCTAATTTATTTCATTTGATTTCTCAACGTTTTTGGCAAAATGTTTTTCAAAATATATTTTCAAGACTTCATGGTTTGTAATGTGATGCCTTTTTTCCTTTCATAGATATTTTTCTTGATTCATGTTGATAGAGGTGCACTATTTTTATTAATTCTTTGAGATAGCCAAGTTTATAGTTGTGACTTACTCTTTTATATATTTGGTTTTTATTTCATTAATTTCTGTTTTTTCCTTTATTATTTCCTTTCTTCTACTTTATTTAAGTCTGCTGTGCTCTTCTTTTCCTGGTATATCAAATGGATGATCAGCTTATTAATTTTCAACACTTCTTCTAGAATCAAGAGACTCATTGGGAGAGGAAGCTTGAAATCAAAACGGGTAAACAACAAGAGCCATGAATTGGCCCTGAGGATCTACCACTTTGCCCCTGCCAGAAGCTTACTGATTCTGAGTACAGCTAGCAGCAAAGGCAAAGTAATTAAAAAAAAAAAAAAGGTAGCCGAGAATTACCAAAACTGAAAACCAGCACTGACCCAGCTCAATCCCTGATTGTATTATAGTGACCAGTCTGCCACCCTATTGATTTATAGAGGAAAATGTAAATACTCTGGTGGAAGTATCATCTGGATACCATTCAGTTCTTTTTTAAAATAGATATTTTATTATTTTATTTATTAGAGAGAGAGAAAGCATGCAAAGGGAGGAACAGGGAGAGATGGACAAGGAGACTTTGTTCCAAGCACAGAGCCCAATGCAGGGCTCCATCCCATAACCCTGAAATTACGACCTGAGCAGAAACCAAGAATCAGATGCCCAACCAACTGGGTGACCCAGGTGCCCCCCATTCAATTCTTTTGTACACGTGTCCAGCATACAATAACAATTAGCCATTATCTTGAATAAAAATTACCATATAATGAATAACAAGAGAGAAGAATACATGCATATGCACAGATGAAAAAACAGTAATGAAAAGAAAGTAAATAATGAATTTCAACAGATTGTTTGATGTTATAGGACAAATTGAATTGCTAGAACTGAAAAAGATAACATATGATATGAAAAACCCATCTTTAAGAGCAGACTTATTGTAGCAAAATACAGGATAAGTGAGCTGAAATACAGATCAACAGAAAGTAATGGAGATAAAAGGAGATATACTGTGAGATACACTCAAAAGATCTAACATTGGTATAACTGGAGTCCCAGAAGAGAGGAAAGAATGGTCAAATATTTTCCAAAAACTGAACAAAGACTTTCATTTCTCAGTAGAATCTATAAAATCACTGCAAGCCAACATTTCCATGCCATAAGTATAAAAATAACACTAAAAGGATAATGTACTTGATTCATTCTACACTGTAAAAATTACCAAGGTTCTTTTGTAGCAAGGAGAAAACCAGAACACTATGTTACCTATTTTCCATGTAGGTGGATCAGCAATTAAAACAGAATATTTGTAGATATTCTGACCATATACGTAATATGAAATTTGTTTTCTTTGCCATTGGTTATGCAGAAAAAGTCCTGGGATTCAAACCTTTATTTATTTAGAAAAAGAAGGAATTGCAGGATGGGACAGAGGGGGAAAGTAAATGAAAGAAAGATTCAGGTGCTGAATAGAAATGCTGTTTCTATCTCACAAAGGTTAAAGTAGACCTTTGAGAATATGGAGATTATGAATATGGAGAAACTTATCTGGTTTCTGGACATAGAGCATAAAATATACAGTGGATAAAGCCTCTATTTCAGATAGCAGATTCTACATCACTTCAGGCAGATGTCCTTACCCAGTGAGATCAAGTTAGTATAATTCTCCAACATCACATCTCTGTACAAATCCCTCTGATCGGAATTTAGGCATTCCCACTCCTCCTGAGAAAAGTCTATGGCAACATCACTGAATGTCAATGGCACCTGAAACAACAAACCCATGTATTATTCATAATAGTAAAGAAAAAAATGTTCAAGATGAAATGATTGAATTGCAGTAAGGGGCCAATATAGAAAAACAAATAGACTGAAGTTACAAGATCATGACATGATTAGACAAGAATAAATACATTAACTTCCGAAGTAGCATGCCAACAGTCTAGAATTATGTTGGAGTGCACACAATTTCTTTAAAAATAAAGGACAACTTAAATACCTAAATGTATGAAAATGAATAAAGTAAACAGACTTTCACAGTTAAATGAAACAGTATATATAAGCACATTACCTACTATGTACCTAAATCACATACTATTAGTAAATGCAAGTTCTTATATCTTTTCTCTTCAAGGAACAGGTAAGAAGAATTGTTCATTTTCCCTCAAAATGAATTATAAAATCTCTTCCAGCTAAGATGAGTAACATGGATTAGACTTACCTTCCCATGTGAAATAACCAAAGACATGAACTAATTGTATTAAACAGTGGTTTTTGAAACAGAAAAATGGGCAGTGATCCCTGAGAGACAAGTAACAAATGAAGTGAGCCTTATGATTGCCATGGCTTACTGCTAGGAGACAGTATTACTACACAATTATGTGTAGTATTACTACACAATTATGTGTAGAATGGCTAAAATTTAATAGACTCACCATTTTAAGTGTTGCTGGAGTTGTGAAAAAAATGGAGCTCACACACTGATGGTGGGAATGTAAAGTGATAAATCACTTTGAAAAATAGTTTTTTGATTTTGTAAAAAGTTAAACATATTCCCCTCCTAGTGTTTACTCAAAAGAAATGAAAGCATATGTCCACACAACGATTTGTGCATGAAGGTCCATAGCAGCTTTACTTGTAATAGCCAAAAAGTGAAAAGAACTCTAATATCCATCAACAGAGGAATGGATAGACAAATTTTTATATATGCTGAGAACAGAATACTAATCAGCAATTAAATAGAATGCACTACTAATAAACGCAACAATATGGATGAATCTTAAAATAAATATGCTTAATGAAATAAGGTTAAAAAGGGCATATGATGTATGATTCTATTTATATAAAATATTAGAATATGTAAACCAACTTATAGTGGCAGAAAGCAGAACAGCAGATGCCTGTGCATGAAGGGCAATGTTGGGGGCAGGTAGGAAGGGGCAATTATAAAGGAGCATGAGAAAAATTTTGGAATGATGGATATGGTCATTATCTTGGCCATAGTAATAGTTTCGCAGGTATATACACAAGTCAAATTTATCAAATTCTATACTTTAAATATGAGTAATTCATTGTCAGTTGTATTTCAATAAACCTGCTTTACAAAGACAAAATATTTAATTTTATGTTAATTACATTTCAAAAAGCTGATAAACTTTCTATCTTAGGAAATAGTTTGTGTAAAATTAAGTAATTTTATCAAGATATATGTCAGATTATGCATCATAAGCATTTCCTTTATTCTCACAAATTAATGTTTTCATTTAGGCCCTAAGACATCAGATTTAATCTATTTTAAAGTACTAAAGTAGTATTAATATTATTAAAGTAATATTAAATTTTAAAGTATACTATTATGATATTTAGGTTGAACACAAATCTTAACCTCTTCCTCACTGTTCAGTATCATCTACCACTTGTAGTTCTAGATGATCTTCCTTTCTACAATCTGTTACTGAACTCCTGTTCCTAGTTAGAATATAGGATATAGGATTATCAGAACAACTGATTTACTCAAGACCAGCAATTTCTCTTTCAATACAAAATAGACCTTACTACATCATTAAATTCTCAGTGATTCCCATAGCCAGGGCTCTGATGTCTGTCTCTCTCAGCATGCACCAATACCATCTCTACCCAAACCTAAAAGCTTTTTAAAGCTGAGATCTCATCTCACACGTAAGCCTGAGACCATAACCCAATTCTCCTTTGTCTTCCTGGAAAACTAAGGAGAAAGTTTTCCCTCTTGTGGCCAAATAGGTCAATTTCCTTTTCTTTCTTTCTTTCTTTCTTTCTTTCTTTCTTTCTTTCTTTCTTTCTTTCTTTCTTTTTTCTTTCTTTCTTTCTTTCTTCTTTCTTTCTTTCTTTCTTTCTTTCTTTCTTTCTTTCTTTCTTTCTTTCTTTCTTTCTTCCTTTTTCTTTTTTTTTTTTGTGGGAGGGAGCAAAGGGAGAGAGAGACTCTTAAGCAGACTCCATGTCCAGCATAGAACCCAACACGGGGCTCAATCTCACAACCCTGAGATCATGACCTAAGCTGAAGTCAAGAATTGGACACAACCAACTGAGCCACCCAGGTGCTCTAGGACCCTTATTTCTATATCATAAACTACAAACCTGACAAAGTTAGCTCAAATATTTCCTTCAAGGTACTTCACTCTTGAACTGCGCCAGCACTGCTTTTTGACAGAAGGCTGAACACATAAAAGATGAATGGATTTTTTTAATGAATAATTTCAAATAATTTAGGGATCCCTGGGTGGTGCAGCGGTTTAGCGCCTGCCTTTGGCTCAGGGCGTGATCCTGGAGACCCGGGATCGAATCCCACGTCGGGCTCCCGGTGCATGGAGCCTGCTTCTCCCTCTGCCTGTATCTCTGCCTCTCTCTCTCTGTGTGACTATCATAAATAAATAAAAAAAATTTCAAATAATTTAGAAAGGGAGCAAATGAGGATGCCATCCTTTTCTGTAAGGGAGAAACCATGAATCAGAGATACAGCTTTCATAGTTAGGAGGCATGGGGATAAAGAATGAAAGTTTACATGACTTAAAAATCATAGTATTTCAGGAGGGAGACACACAACCACTTACCCAGGCCATGGCTTTCAAACTGCTGATCTTCCTCAGGTTCTCTCTATTAGAGAAGCCAATTTCAAAGATGCCAGAGCTGGGAGAGGAAAAAGAGGCCTTGAGGTCTGGTGTATCTCAGAACACCAAAAATTATTTAAGGTAATATAGCTTTTCTTCTTTCTTCTTTATTCCTGCTTCCCACTGTCCTTGCTCACTCTCCACCATCCCAAACACATGAACACGTGTCAGGGGATATAGAAATCCAGATAAACCCAGGCCCTTCCCTGTACCTACAGATATAAGCCACGCAAGAGTGTATAAGAGCACAGGCACTCTTGTACCAAAGCTAGATTCAGACACCCACACTGCCTTAATTCTCACAATTATCAAGCCAACTAAACCCAGCCTAGGTTGTTCGGTAATATTGAATAGATCCTCATCTAGGCCTATCTTTCAGGGTAAAGACCAAGCCATACAACGCAAACTACAACAATCTTCATGTGTCTGGGATGGACCTGGACATGAAATCTTTTGCACAGAAGCAGTAGAAATCAACCTAAAACCTTGACCACTGTATAACTATCTGCCCATGTGAAGCCTTTCCCCTATGCTAGAGCTATGACTTTCAAGATTCTCTGGGCTAACCAACCTGGATTTCCCTATTAGGATCTACTTTGCTGCCATGAGTCTTGCCTGTGGCCCCAGAAACCAACACCCCCAGTACCTACTAGAGAAGAGTGAATTCATGCTTACTGAAGCCATATAGCAATACATAGATTTTGGCAGCCCTCTATGTTTTGATAGTCTATACACATTAACATTTAATTCTGCAGTGCAGTTATTACCTCAGTTCAACAGATGAAAACATAAAAGTTCAAAGAATCTTGAAGACATTTTAAAATAATTTTAAAGACATTTCTCCATATCACAAATAATAAGTAGAAGTGATGTGTTTTGAATCACATTTCTATACTTATAAGGCCAATTATTTTTCCAACTATTGCCTTTGAACCCAGATTTTTTGTTTCCTTATGTGAAACCTAAGAATAGGTAATTAAGACATCACCTATCAAAAGATTTACTAAAGAGATGTTTTCAAGCAATAAGGTACTATCATTTATAGGTATTCCTTTTTCAGACTTTAAGGGTTGATGATGCACCACATATAATATGGTTGAAGGGAAAAGAGCATTGTTATGATGTCCTGTAGACTTGTGAAAACCTAGTGCAGTTGAGACAGAGCAGAATTCTGCATAAGAATTTAACCATGAAAGGTCATTTCTGAGTCTCTCTCCAAAGGAGATAACTGTAAAATGAGCCAGTTAATTTTTTTTTAAACAGGAGAGAAATTTAAAGGTACAAAATCTAAAGGTACATAAATGGGTGGCTAATTAAATAAACTACAGTGCATTCATACAGTGGAAAATGAAGTAGACTTTGAAAATGATTGTGCATTCCATTGGTTCTCAATGGGGAAATGTTCAGCAATGTCTGAAGACATACTTGGTTGTCAAAATGTGGGAAGGGGTACCATTGTTTCTTTTTTTTAAATATTTTATTTATTTATTTGAGAGAGAGAGAAGAGGCAGAGGGAGAGGAGAAGCAGACTCCCTGCTGAGTAAGGAGTCTGATGTAGGGCTCAATTCCAGGACTCCTGAATCATGACCTGAGCTGAAAGCAGATGCTTAATTAACTGAGCCACCCATGTTCCCCCAATGCCATTGTATGTATTAGATAGAGAACCAGGGATCCTGCTAAGCATCCTATAATGCACAGGAAAGCCCCTCACAACCAAGAATTATCTAGCTAAAAATATCAACAGAACTGATGCTGGAAAAGCCTGAAGTAAACTCATTAAAGCAAGACAACATAATTCAGAATCTGTATATTATCCACAGTGCCACCATACAAAACAATTATTAAACATGCAAAGAAACAGGAAAAAGCTTACTAATAATCAAGAGAAAAAATCTCTGTAGAAACAGACCCAGAGATAATCTACATAGTGGAGCTAGTAGACAAGGATTTGAAAACATTATGATTAAGATGCCAACAAAATAGAGGAAAACATGGGTAAAGCTGGATTGGAAATGGGCTCAGTTGGTAAAGTATGCAACTACTGATCTCATAGTTGTGAGTTAGAGCCCCAGGTTGGGTGTAGAGCTTACTTAAAAAGGGACGCAGGACCACCTGGTTGGTTCAGTCAGAATGCAAAAGGAAGTATATCAATAGAGATTTAGAATCCTAAAGATTCACATGAACATTTTATAATTATAAAAACATAGTAGTGAAAATTAAGAATGCATTTGGTAGTCAGTGTAAAGTTGAATTAACAATAATCTTATGCAGAGAGAAAAAAAATAGAACATTAAAGAAATACAGGAAAGTCAAAACATGAAATTGAACACCTAAAAAATAGGACAGAAAATTTATTTGAAGAAATAATGTACAAAAATATCGCAAATCTCCATGAAATGTTTTGATGCATAAATTAAAAAATTCATCAAACCAAACCAGATAAATTAAGGAGTCCATATCTAGGCACAGCATGGTCAAACTGTTGAAAAACAGAGTTTAAAAACATATCTTAATAGCATGTAGTTTTAAAAAAGATAACAGTTAAAAGAAAACAACAATAAGAAAGAGTTCATTTCTCAACAGAAACTATAGTGGCCTGATGAATGGAATTTTATCTTTAAAGTGTTGAAAGAAAAAAATGACAACTGTGAAGTTTATACCCAGAGAAAATATCTTTCAGAAATGAAGGAAAGATCCTTTTCTAACAAAAGCTTAGAGAATTTCTTATTAACAAGAAATACTAAAGGACAACAGTCAGGCTAAAGGCACATAATCCCAGGTGGAAGCATGGATGTGCAAAAAGCTATGGCATATTAAATATATGACTAAGATAACTAAACAGATGGATTGTTTAAAGCAACAAAAATAATATTGCTTGTAGGGTTTGTAATACAGGAAGAAATGACAATACTACCATAAATGGAGTTAGACTATTAAAATGTTTTTATATTATTTGATATGTAGTAAAAGCCCTAATTTAAGGGAGATTGTCTTAAAGATGCATTCTATAATAGCTCAATTAACTATTAAAAGAATTATACAAAGATGTACAATCAGAAAATCCTAATAGAGATAAAATGAAATAATAAAAATACATGATTAATACAAAAGAAGACAGGTAAAGAGGAATAAAGAAATAAAAATGGAATAGGACAAAAAAATATATCGCAAGATGACAGACTTAAGTCAAATTGTATCAGTAATTGTAGTAAAATGTAAATGTACCAAATATCGCAATTAAAATATAAGATCTTCAGATTAGATTAAAGAGAAAAACAGGATCAATTATGCTGCCTATAAGAAATACTTTAAATGTAAAGACACAAATATATTAGACAATAATTAGAAAAACACTAGTATTGGTATATTAATAACAGATACAATAAATATATGTCATACAATTTAAGAAGAATCTGGTAGTCCTACATTTCTTATAACATAGCTTTAAAATATAGAAAGCAAAGGTCAACAGAATTAAAGGATAGACAAAGTTATAATTGAAGTTTGAGAGTTTAATATTCTCTATTGGTAACCAATAACAGGAAGAGAAAAAAAATCCAGAGGGCCATAGAAGTTTGAACAGAATTAATCAAATTGACCTAATTGAACATGCTTCTAAATTAAAGACTACACATTCTTTTCAAATGCTCAGAATATATTTATCAGAATGTTCTGAGCGATAAAACAAGCATCTATAAATTTCAAATGATTAATATCAAAAAAGAATGTATATATTTTTAAGCCTTTGGAATTAGAACTTAAAAACAGGTATTTCTCAGATGTTTCCAAATATAAAAAGTTCATCTTTAAATACGTATAGGTCAAAAACAAAATCATAAACAGGAAACCAGAAAATATTTTGAGCTGAATGTCATGAAAGTATAACATAAAAAAACTTGTGAGATGTGCTCCAACCAATGCTTACAAAGACATTTTTTAGCTTTAAATATGTTGTTTTGTTTTTTATAAATGCCACTCATTGTTTAATCTCCATCATAGTTGTTAGGTGTACTACAGATATATTGGCACAGCAAGTATATTAGTAGTGAAATGATGGAAATCCTTTGTCAAATTACGTCAATGCTAAAAAAAATCTGGAATTTATTTTCTCCCAGTGGAGAGCATGAGCATTTGTAATAACTGTTCTCTTAGTTTTTTCTTTCTATTCTTTGATCTCCTTCATCCAAACATAAATGTATGTATTATTTAAGTAGAAAGGTTAAAAATCAATGATTTACCTTTGGAAGCTAGAAAGAGAAAAGCAAATTTAGCCTATAGAAAGTAGAGCATACTAAAAGAAACCAGTGACAAAACCTCACATATACAACAAAGAAAAATCAATAAAGCCAAAAACTACCTCACTGGAGAGATAAAGTTGATAAGCCTCTTACAAGTCAAGAAAATAAGTGTCAATATCAGGAATATGGAAGGAGATATCACTACATATATTACAGACATTAAACTGGTAACAGAATTTCATGAACTGAATTGTTGAAAATATATATGAAATTTTAAAATGCTTTGAAAATATAATTTAACTGAACTAATATAAGAAATGAAAAATCTGAATATTGTTATACTTACTAAAGAAATAAAATCTTTACTAAGGACCTTCTCATAAAAATGTCAGCCTGAGAGGCTTCAGTGGCAAATTCTCCCAAACATTTAAGGAATTTAAAATACCAGTCAAACACAGTATCTTCTAGAAAACAGGAAAAAATGGACCATGTCATGAGACAGAACTATGGTATCAAAACCTGACAGGGACATTAATTACAAGAAAGGAAAATTACAGTACATCTCTCATGAACATAGATGTAAGCATATCAAACCAAATATTAGCAAGGATATTAAACCAAATAAGGAATCACAGGGTGGCTCAGTGGTTTAGTGCCTGCCTTTGGCCTAGGGCGTGATCCTGGGGTCCCAGGATCAGATCCCACATCGGGCTCCTTGCATGGAGCCTGCTTCTCTCTCTGTGTGGGTCTCTCATGAATGATTAAATACAATCTGTTAAAAAAAAAAAAACAAATATTACCGGTGATATAGAGGGCAAGAGAGATTTAGTCTAGGAATATAAAAGTAATTTAATTTTCAAAAAAAATCAATCAACATAACCTTCCAACTTTAAATAATAAAGGAGAAAGCCATTTGTACATGTCATTATGTGCAGAAACTTTGATAATATTCAACCACTGTTCATAATAAAAATTCTTAGCAAACTAGGAAAAGAAGGGTACTTCTTTAATTAGATAAAGGGGATCTATAGAATTAAACTACAACTATCATTATATGAGAGGTGGAATATGGATCACTGTCCTGAGTTCAGGAACAAGGCAAACTGGTCCATTATTACTAGTTGTACTAAATTTTGTACTGTAAGACCTATCCAATACCATATGGAGGGGGAAAAGTAAAATGAAAGGTAGGAAGATTGGAAAAAAAGAAGTAAAATCATTTTTATTTGCAGATAATATGATTTTATACATAAAAATTTCAGTTCTACAAACTATTAGATTAAATGAGTTTATTAGCAAGATTGTTGAATAAAAGGCCAAAGTATAAAACAATTAATTGTATTAAAACAGTTATTGGAAAAGTAAAATTTAAAATCCCAACAGTTTATAAAAAACCTATAAAGTACAATACTTTGGAATAAATCTAACAAAAGAAGTAACAAGACTTTTAAACTGAAAACAACAAAGGGACTGAAGAAGAATTAAATAAATGGAAACATAGTCTGTGTTCATGAATTAGAAGACTCAATTTTAAATATCAATTCTAAGTATCTATTGATTTGATGCATCTCCAACAATGTCAGGAGGGTTTTTTTTTGAGAAAATTATGAAATTGTTCTACAATTATGAAAATGCAAAGAACCTAGAACAGTCAGTGCAATTCTGAAGAACAGAGTTGTCAAAATCACATTAGATATCAAGACATGATATAAAGCTACTGTAATTAAAACAGTGATACTGACACAGGATTGAAAAACATACCAATAGAATAGAGAGTGCAGAAAGAGACTTGAACATATACAGTCACACTTTCACAAATAAAGTCTGACTGCAATTTAGAGCAAAAAGGATAGTCTTTTTCAACAAAAGGTGCCTGAGCAATTGGGGGTCTGTGTGCAAAACGTAATTTTGACATTGATCCCA